ACTTTTTTGTCTCCTCGACTGCCGGCTGCAGGCAGCGAATGAAAAACATCAAGAATTTACGCACGCAACCGTATCGTATACTATACATATTATGTTATACAAAATAATATTATACCATCGCGTAGTACAGCGTTTATTATGGCCGACCGTTGTGCTTTGGCCCGTAAAAAAACGTATGACACTTTTTATGTTTCCGACCATGATGAACATTACCGTTGTTTTTTTGTTTTTGTCTGAGTAACTCACGAAAAATGGACGCGCAATATTCTTACGGTTTTTTTTATTCCTTTTTCATACCAATAACTATAACTGTACACCCATGTAATCGTTAGTAGATACTAAGCGCTGAACATACCTATATTATAACGCTGTTCGATTTATCAAATCAATGTAAACGCTTTTAACAACTGTTGAACGATTGTTGACATCATTAAATTTTTTTTTTATTTTTTCGAAGCAATCATATTTTATGAAATAATGTTCACGAAACAGTCGTTTTCGGCGAATGCGTGTTTTTCAATACATTTATTTTTTTCATGTTAGATTGGTACTTTTAGTACTTGATTTTAAACACAGTAGGTAATCATTAATATTATGTAGTAATTAGTATTCTAATATTAAACCTAACAACACAAATTTGGTTATGCTGAACGAAAAATATGTGCTGTGCAGTGTGCTATACGTTTGTAGTCAATCTTAACCTACACATGCGAGTGAGATCACCTTAGAAGACATTGCAGTATTTTGAGATTTTTTTTCAAAAACACATTTGCTAAAAAAATTAATGTTTTGTGTTAAAAGCTATAGATCTATACATAAAATAATATTTCCTAATGGTGGTGGCCAACTAATTTATTTTTAATACAGATATTCATTAGAATTAGTAGTGTTAAAACTTAAAATTGATGATAAAAATTAATTATAATCTGTATATTATATCATAGCCAATGCAATAATTAGTAGCTATAATAATAATTCATATTGTTTTCAAATAATATTTATAAACTATGCACACTTTATCGAAACTCATAATGATTGCAAAGTTGGTTTAGTCAAATTTTTAATGTATTCGCAATGAAAAAAGATGTTGGCACGTACTACTGTAGTGATTATTAGTCATTATGTTATAGGTAGGTTTTTTAAACGGTTCGCGTCATTTCAACGAACGAACTGGAAATGATGATTTACAGTTACCAAACTGTTGATTATTCTCGATTACATAATACTTTTTTTCAAGAAAAACGGATACAGTAGTGTGTTTATGTCGATAAAACAACACATATACCAAATAAATCGGTTTTAACGGATAAAGAGTGTTTATAAAACACTTAAAAAAACCATTCTCCAATCGTCTCTCCGCAAAAGTAGATATTTATTAAATTAAAACTGTTGCTTACAATTATTATTCAAGAAATCATTGAAACTTATAAAAACACCAATTTATTCGTATGCGCAACGAAAGACAGATAATGTATACATTATCTGGATAATATGAACACTACTGCCCATACCTAATGGATAAAGTAAAAATAATATGTCTATTTCATAAATTACCCGGGTAATTTATACATTATTTACGGTAACGTACACCATTCGATAAAATAACGGTTTTAGATAATTGTTTTCAATGAAACGCGCCCAATAATAGATATTATTTTAGAAGTTTTAGCTATCAAAAAATCTTTATATAAAATGCAATAATATTTTTCCGATGGTCAAGGTTTTGAAAATTGTTTATAATATATTAAAGTATATAGATACTTATCACATAAATTAAAATATAAAACCAAGAAAATGTTTTGAAATTATATTTGTGACCCAAAATCAAATAGTTCTGATAACTAATTGTCTATGACCTTGTAGTTATTTTAGTTTTAATTAAAATATAGTAAAATTGTACAAAAGACAAAAGTATATAGTTAACAATTTAATAACAATAAAATAAATCATTTTTATTTCGGATTAGTTTGATTTGGTTCTAGTCACTAGAATAAATAATACTCTATAAAATTGAAACGTTTTAAGTATTTGGTGTGTTAGCCATCATATTATGAAGTTACCGCTTACGAATAATTTTATTATTTTATCCTTAGCATACCGGCGAATGTTTACATTTTTTGATTTGATCCTATAAAATTCCTTTATATTGCACATTATTATACCATTAGAGGCTTAGGGTATTTTCCTTATACGTTGTTATCAAATAAACTGTATAAATTATTAGACAATTATTATTATCAAGAAATATTTATTTCTTTACTTGTATTTAAAATCATTACACATTATCATATACATGGGTGTCCGAAGAGGACCAGGACAGAGAGCAAGATAAAAAATGTTCCCCTCTTTCTAGTTTTTAAGTATAAATTTGAAAATTTTAAACTTTATTATTGTTTAAATAAACATTTCATTAATATCTTGACTTTAGTATAATTATTTTTTCTAAATTTGCTTTTTTGATTGATTTTATTATACACCTCCCTGATAAATTTTTCATGGGTACCCGCGTGTATACCTACTTATAATATTAACATAATGATTAAACAAAAATGATTTAGGTATAGTCTAAGCGTGATTTTTATTTTTCAATTCTACTGGAAAAAAGCTATTATGTTTGAATGAATTGTTAAACTATTTTAGTTAAACAATTAACCAACTATTATAAGCTAAAAAGCTTAAAACAAGTAACTTTAGTTAATGCTTATCTTTTATTATTATGCAAGTATATTTAGTATTTGTATATTTGATTGATAAATCATTTATTGAAATATATACTTAATATTATAGTAATAATTTATTTCAATTTTTAATTATGATATAATGTACCTATGTAATAATAATAAAGCAAAACATGTAGCATATAATGTAAAATGCAATTTATATTCGGTGTATGTTATTATTTTAAATATGTATATAATTAAACATAATAGGTATCGCATTCAATATTATGTTCAAAGCTAGCATATATTACTAAAATTTATCCACCCATTCTTTGGTCATATTTAAATATTAAGTACTGTATTTAATTGAAGTTAATATTAATCTTAAGTTTTAAAATAAAATTGAATTTCCCGTTATATATATAATTATATAGACGATATCTATGTTAATTATTATTTTTATTCGTTGTAATAGATACCTTTGTAGTTATCTATAAAATGGGTTTAATTTATAATTTTTATTTTTTTGGTATTACTTATAACATAATTTTTTACTGAAACATATAGATAGTAAAAACATTATCTACAACAATTACTATTATATATAATACACAAAGAAAAAAAAGTTTAACAAATTCAAATTTTTTTTTTCATTGCTTTTAAGCAAATTATATCAAAAAAACATACATACATAATACATAAATTTATTTAATAGTATTCTGAAGTAGTCAAAATTATATTAATAACATTATTAGTATAATACCTACCAGATGATACATTTTATAAATAATTCATTTAAATTTTTTATATAGCAGCATCTCCAATAAGTTATGTTTGTGCTGGGGTAGTAGTACATATCAACTTATTTTTACATTTGATAATATATAATATTAGTAATAGTTTAAAATAAACATTAAAATAATATTCTAATACAATAACCAAGCAAAATAATAATAATAATAATAAAACAATATATATTATATAGGTATAATAATACCTATATGTATTGAAATGTATAATTTACTTATTATAATAATTAAGTGTATAGTGTTTAAAATTAAAATTACGAATTAAAAAATGGAATAAAAATGAAAAATAATTATAAATTTTTAAATATCTAAATGATTATTGAAAGTTCCTCCCATATTGAAATACCATTAGAGTAGACTAGCTAGCTGATTGTATGTATTAAAAATAAATAAATCGCTCTTTTATATGATTTATTGAATAAATACTTTATTACTTCTTTGAATACAAAGAAGAATATATTATGAATAGCCCATTTAAATCTATAATTTATTGTTAGATAAAGGTATTTTAATCCCTTCAATTTATAAGTTCAACACATTTTAGACCATATACCTACACTACTTAAAATTGAACAACATTTTAGAGAAAGTACTTATAAACTATTTTTATTTAAAATATTAGTGCTAAGACAAATACCTATATTTTGATTTGAATAAATTAAGCTTTAATTTGTTCTTATAGTAAACCGAATATAAAAATTCCTTAACATTTTATTTGCTTAATAATACAAAGTATTCATTGTTGGCGCCGGAAATAAAATGATAGTATATCAAAAAAGCTCAAACTGTCATTGTAAAAATTAATTTTAACGTTCAATAAAGCATTAAAACAAATTATAAATAATAAGGGATCTTATACTACACTACAAGATACTTGTAAAGTTTCATTATAAGGTTTATTAAGTTTAACTCTTTGAATTTTATTATTTAAAAAAGATTCCAACAGACTATATTAACCAAACCACGTATACCCGAGTATTCTAGTTTTGTTAGTAAATAGTAATGATTTATGATTTACACAATTAAAGACTTTTTGTATAATATCTAAGATTCTCATTACCTTATAATTGTTTTCAATATTTTTCTAAAAAAAAGTTATTGACCTTAAAAAGTGCTTCAACTTTAGATTTCTTTAATCTGAAATCAAATTGTGTTTTTAGAAAAGAAATACTTTTTATTTAAAAAAACCCAGTTATTTATTTTTTTTAAATTTTTCTAAAGTTTTCGACAAAGTTAAAGATAATGGAATTGATCAATAAATTCCACCTAATAGCTATTATTACTTACCTTGAATAATAGTGAATTACAATACATATTTAAGCTATAAACTCTTCGTCAACAATGCCATATTAAATATTATTAATTATTATAACACACCTATACCTATACCTTTATAATATATATTATGTATAATTGTATAATTGAAAATAATATTAAAATACGAAATAAGTACGGAAAATATACACATTATTATTCCTACATATTGCCTATTAATGTATGTTATTAATATCAATATTTATTTTGTTCGCAGTAAATGACGAGCGAGCGGAACATACCACACTTGAGGGATATATTCGGCGGCGTCGACGACGACGATGGTCTGCCGAGTGAGTTACGCCGGTTGGACGTGAAGAGCGACGACCGAAACTCATTGGGTGGCGTTAGCGCGGGTGGCACTGACAGCGCTATATCGGTGGGTTCGGCTAGCGAGGAGGATTTGTTACCGGTCAAGGGATCCAAGAAAAAACGGCACAAGGGCGGTGGTAGTCGACAGACAAAGTGCGCGGCTACGTTTGAGGATGACGTGAAGCACCTAGAACGGCATCTGTCGATGAAGAAAACTATTAGGAAGAAAATCATGCGAGACTTGCAACAGGCGTTCGTCGAAGATCCGGACGAGTTCAAGGTGGAAGACATACCGCCGGAGCAGCTAAAGGCTGAGCTTAACTCCAGGAGTTTAAGCTTTGGCATGCCGGGCAAGAAAAAAGGTACCTATGTACCTATAATTCTAACACGGAGGTGTTTTTGTGTCTAGCCAAAGTAGGCGTGGCGGATCTAGGATTTTTTTTTTGGGGGGGGGAAGAGAGGCCAAAATTTTTATATTAATTTTGTAAACACAGTATTTAGGATTTGATGTTAGGCCTTACAAATATAATAATAATACAAATGCTAAAGGGGGAAGCCTCTCGGGCCCACTTTGAATGCCTACACCACTGGGCGAGAGTGTTTAATGACGACGCTTGATAATTTAAATTAATTCAAAATTAATTTTTAGAATTTGTTTTTTGAAATTTGGACAACTGATATCCTGTATTATACGAGGCAGCTAGTTCTCTCCCGAAAAATATCTCAGTTAGACTGCTAAATTGTTCTAAACATGCCTAATATATGGTACCTATCTATATGTATAATATAGCCTGGGTATAGCCGTTGAATTACCTGCTGCATATAGATCGTATGACATTTACCCATGTCAAAGAATAGTGTATCTATAAACCCGTTAAGAATAAATTTTAAACTTGTGTAAAATGAGCACACGGATTTTGTTTTCTTTACATCATTATAATGTTGATGACTCTAGGAGCTTGTGAAAAATCATTACAAACGTGTTCTTGATAATTATCAAATTTAAATATTTATTGCGTTTTAGTAATATATCACGTAGGCAGGTATACAATATATTATATACAATTATTATAACGTAGTATATATGTATATATAATATATATATATATATATATATATATATATATAAGTGAGCAATGGCATCTTAAAATATTCGTTTGTTTCGAGTAGTAAAAAGTATCTATCATTTATTTGATTCGGGGAGCTGAGAATGGGCAGTCTAAAGCCCTATAAATCTCGTAACTTTTTAGTAAAGTTCTTATTTTTTAATAGACTACCTAGCTAGTTAATTTTTCTGTTATTTAATTGTTTCTAATTACCTACGTATTAATATTGTTATAATTTTTATATTAACCATCAATAGGTACATGCATACATACTATTAATTAAAAACCTACTTAAAAGATTAAATTTTAATAAATTATGTTATAATATTTCGTTGATGTAGGTAGTTAAATTTCTCTATCTATGACCTCTAAAGGACGTCGTATCCATACGGGCCACATGCTATTACAATTGTATAGATATACCCAGTGAATATTAATTTGCAAAATCATTATAATTATTTACAATTATTTAGGTATTAGCTATAAATTATTATCCTTTTAAATCAAATTTATAATTTATGTTTAATACGCTCAGGTAAAATGAAATCTGAATCAAACTTCCTGGACTTTTTACGTGGCGGAAACGACTCGACAATGACTGGCCGTCGTTACAACGCAGACGAAAGTGATTCTGGACACGGGTCTCCGACCAGAGAATTGGACGATGATGAACCGTCGATACGGAAGCCAAGCTTTTGGAGACGTTTTACCACAAAGGGCGCGAGGAACAAGCGGTAGGCGCTAATACCGTTTGAGCGCATAAGTAACACTGTGATCCTTAAAAGTTAAAACCTATTATTATTAATATTATTATTTTATAATTTTATTTTATTTTTATCACGTAAAATGTATCGTATGTGCGTATACGGCCTATTTTCGTCTTGTCATCCTGACGCTATTACCTTAAATAATCCAATGTAAAATCGCTGATGCGACTTATCCTGAATTCCCGACCAATACAAGACAAGTATCCAGTACACTAATAATAACAAATCCTTTAAAAATTTTCTTTTGATTTTACAAGTACAGCTTTACTATTTGAATTTCTTATGATATCCTATGATGTATTTTGATATAAAATATTTTATGCAATGTATGCATGTATCATACTATCATATATGTATGTATGTATGTATCTATCAATTTAGATACTTAATAAAAATGTCATATTTAATACAATATTTTTATATATTTTTTTTATTTTATTCATATATAAGTAATTATACTTGCTAGCTTATCATCATTCCGGCCTATTGCTAATGTTGCTTTTAAGAAATTATATTTATTATTTACAAGTTCTTGATGAAATATTGTCTAAGACATTAAGTCAGTTAATATAAAATGTTCGATTATTTGAAACACTTAACAATGAATAAATTTATAAAAAACCGCTCAACACAAGCTTATGAATAATTTAGTTCACCATTTATACTAGTATAACGAAATATTGTGAAATATCTTGTAAGCCAAGTGCTGTGGTCACAAATCACTTTCATTGTAGATTTAGTTATGATTAGAGATCGGAATTTTATGCATTTGCACATTAATACTAAGTGTATGCACTTATACGAGGGTTTGAAATGTGGGCGATTCAGACCCAAAAGATTCCATGATTCCATAAACCAAATTCAATTTTGCATGTAATGAGAGTTGGGGCATATTTTTTCATAAGTACATATGAATGTGCATATTTTTTACAATCTTAATAAATAATAAAATTATTTTATGTTTTTATTTAAAAAATTATAATTTTTAAATACTGCTATGGCGAAAAAAATTACCGTCAACACGGTAAAGAATTTTATCTTCTCTATTTCGATACTGTGTTGATAATCTATAATGTGACAAATTAAATTAAATTTGAAAAAAAAAACAAATTAATTTTAAAGTTATGTAAGAAATTAACATACATTTATTGGTAAAACCGCAAATTTTGTTATATTTTATTTGTTTTATTTGTTCTGTTTGTAGTTGTTTAAAATAATATAAATTTATGATGCATATTTGAGCATATTTTTTAATTAATTATGCATATTAATGTAAATTGTTTGACCCTTTTGCTTTGCATATTTGTATCATATTTGCCACATTATTAATGCATATAACTCCGGTCTCTAGTTATGATAAGCTTTTTTTTTTTAATAAGTTATGTAAAATGATTTGACAGTCATATACCGAAGCCATATACTTAAAAAAAAAAAAAAAAGAATACCTAGTATATAATAAAATAAAATATTTAGTTACAACACAAATATAAAAATTACATATTTTTTATGAAAATACAATAAATAACTCTAAAACCGACTTGTTGGTAAAAAAAAATCAACATTACAAAAACTATATAAATTACCTTGACAATATTTTAATTATTAAATATATAAATAAAACTTTGATCTATTAACACCAAAAATAAATAGGCACGAGTTTAAAAATTAGGCAAGATTGAACTAAATTATTACATATGCATGTAATATATATGTACATAATTATTTTTAAAACTATATCAGCCACAGATTCATGAACCAAATTCATCAGTGTCTGCTTCAATCTTGTTGAAATGGAATAATCCTCTTCCATCCATTTGTAAATAATACTAAAACACAATAACAATGATTATTGTTATATCATAGACTTCTCAGTTTTATTAATAGATAACATATGTTTTATAATACATATTATTTTATTATATGGAATAGAGGTATAAATAGTCGAATAAGTAATATATATTGAGTTTGTAAATAATTTTAAATAGTAATATACAATTTCTTATTAAATCTAGCAAGTAATTTAATAAGCTGATGGCATATCATTTTATGAACATAAAATACAGCAATCATTTATATTATTAACTGAATTAAATACACACAAACGTAAATATACAGAAGAAAAACACCTAAAAAGCAAATTATTTAATTTATTATTAACGGTGAGTTTTTTTTTTTAAGAAAATTAGTTATTATAGTCTCAATAACTTAATGTTTTGTCCCATGATATATATATATATATAGTTTAATCAGTAAAACACATTAGTAAATCCAAAATGCCTTGGAAATGTATTTATTTTTATTATTTAAGCCCTGTGTTACTGATTAATTTAAATCAGTATTTTTATTATTTAAATATAAGTAATAATAAGTATCTTTTAGTAGTACATGTCTTTATATTACTAATATAGTAATTAAGAAGTGCACAAATTAATACTATACCAACTGAACAGTCTAAAGTACCTAAAACAGTATTAAAAACATTTTGATATTGATACTTACATCGTGATGTTTCCATAAAGATTTGCGATGGCTGACTGTGAAAAGTGAAATACCAACATCACGACAATATTGATACATAGAACCTTCAACATCAACACTAACTGCACTTGTACATTCATCTAATATTGCAAATTGTGGTTGATGATAGAACAATCTAGCCATGGCAATTCGTTGTTTTTCTCCACCAGACAATACATCCATCCAATCAGCAACAGTATCCCAACCTTGGTCTCTTTGCAATAAATACGATAATTGTACACGTTCTAAATGATTAGCAATATCTACATCAGTTTTTCTACGACGCTGCATTTCTTCCCTAAATATATACATAAAATTTATTATTAATAATTATGGCTGATGCTAATTCATCTATAATAATACAATGATATAATAGTATAATATAAGAGTATTTAATTTACACATACTTTGTATGAGGATATGTAACTTGATCCCTTAATGTACCTAATGTCATATATGGTTTCTGTGGAATATAAAAAAGTTTGCCCTTTGGAGGTTTTGTTAAAGTTCCACCAAAAAGAGGCCATAATTCACCAAGTATTCTGAATAAAGATGATTTTCCACAACCATTTGGACCACATACTAGCACATTCATGCCTGATGTAACTTCAAATGTTAACTCCTCAACTAGTATATCACCATTAGGCGTTATAAGAGGCACCTTATCAAACTTGATAACATTATCTTTAGTTATAATACGACCAGAATTTGGTACAAGCTTCTTTTCTCTCAATACATCATTATCAGTCAGCATAGTCCTTACATAGTGTCCTTTATTAAGATCATTTAAAACAGTCATAATTTCAGTAACTCTAGCAGTGAATCCAGCTAAACGTGTCATATCACGGCCAGCTAACACTAAGCGACCAATAGCTTCAGCTAATTTTACCAACATACGACCCATTGTATAGTAATTCTGTAATTAAAATATTGGATATTAATAGAAAATTGATCTTTATAAAATATAATATTTAAAAAATTGATTGCATTATGTAATTATCATGTATCAATTTTATACTTAAAAATATTTATGTTATACTAACTCGAAAACGTTCATTTTGAGAAAGGTTGGCTAAAGATGAATTACGGTTCATAAAAGGTATACTAACAGCATAAAATCCTACAACTGTAGCAATATCTAAAAAACATAAAATATTTTCAAATGTAATTTTTGCTCAGTTTGTAATTATTATATTATAAATAAATTTAACTTACATTTTCCAAGAATATTATCAAAAAAACCCATGCACACTCTGAATTCAAGGAATTTTCTTAAGTGATTTGTCTAAAAATTTAAAAAAATAAATCAATCAAAATTTTACATTTGAATAGGAATTAGAAATAATGTTAAAAGTAGGTAATTATAATGATTTAAAGAATTAAATACATAAAAATAATTAATAAACTTTATCAATTAAAAACCACAAGCATAATACTTACTAGTTTATTAAACGACGCTAACATAGTAAGCTTTTCCCTGTTATTACCATTGTAAAAGGCTATTTCTTCAGAATTTGTGATTAACCTAGAGTTAATATATCGGTATTCACCTTCTAATTTTTGTTCCATCACAGTCATTTTACCAGTTGGTCTACGAATATAAGTTAGAACAAATCCAGATATCATCAAATAACCCAGCATTACAGAAGGAGTCTGAAAAAAATTGTTATTTCTTACATTTTCAAATTAAACTTGGAGCATATTTTTAGCATTTACTTCAAATCCTAATGTAGATGTTAATTTGTAAACATATATCACAATATCTAAAAATGGTTTACAGATATTGGAATATAAATCAGCGAACATGTCGCAGAACTTATCAACATCAGCTGTTAATAATTGATCAGGATTTGATATACGGTTGTCCAAATTATTTATCTTGTAGTAAGTATATCCTCTAAAAATTATAATCATAACTTTTTGCCTGTTATAAAATGTTTTTATAAAACTACCTTAAATAATCATCATATAAGTGATGTGACAATCTAGTTCTAAGTCTAAGCTTCAATTCTCCAATACTCCACTGTAAATTGTAAAATTATGAATTAGTACAATATTAGACCATCCCAGTCAGGGTTAATATATACTCACTCACCTTTAACACATTATTGACCAAAGAAATCTAAAAAAATAATTAATATTAATTATAAATTATTTTAAAATAAATTGATTGTAATAATTTTAGAAAAATAAGTCTACTTACTATTGGCATTCCAGCAAAAAAGTATAACAATTGTTGGGTAAACAATTTTGTATTCATACTTATAATTGCTGTTTCAACAACCGTTCCAGTCTGTATCATCCATATGTCACTATAAGATCGAGCTATTAGTGATGCAGCAACAAGTAAGAGGAATCCAAATTCTGGAGATGTAAAGCCAGGGATAATAATTTTCAAAATATGAAAGAGTTGTTTAATAAAACGTCCATTGACGTGTGCTCGATTTGAATTCTTCACTTCTGCTGATTTCTGCATAATTAATAATAAAAAGGTTAGAGTGTGTTGGAAAAAATAATTTTCAGTTCAGTTCAATATTATTTTATACAATTACAAATATTATGATACATATTTTGTAAAATATTCTTCGTTTATTGTCTTTTAAATTTTCTGATCATTTTAAACATTTTGATTTAGTTATCAAATAATTTAAGTTATTATTTAAAATTTAGTTAGTAGATAGTGCATTTCATCAACTAATAAGGGGGAATATTAGAGAGAATAAAGGTATTATAAAATATTAAAATTTTAAGTATTCATAGTTATACTTCATAATATATAATTTATGACAAATTTAAATCTAGGGCTTTTTAAAACACCAAGAAACATTATTAGATATTACATAATTTATAGTATATAAATTAAACGTACATAAAGATAATGTTTTTTGTAAGTGTGTTGCAATGACATTATTTGCAACAATGTAATATAGTAACATTTATAGATATTTTAAATTATATTTATTCTTTATATCTTATTTTCGAGCAGGATTTTTATTCTACAACTTTACCTAACTTCATGTCTTAAAAAAATAAAATTTTAATTATTTATTGTATACATTTAGTTTAAATATAAATTAGAAACATGTTTTTATGACTACCTAATTGATAAATTTACTTAGTTAAAACAATTTATCAAAAAAACTATATGGATAACTAAAATGATCCAAGGTGTTAGTGGTTAAAAATTTCAACATAATATAGGTAAAGTAAACAAATATAAAATATATATCAGTACATTTTATGCTTTTTTTAATATTTTCAAATACATTAACAACTTACTACATCTGTTAGAGAACTGTTAATAGGTATATTAATATCAAAATACACGGTATTATCTTGATGATTGTCTAATAAATAAATTTATTTGTATACAAAAACAGAATTTCAAAAATATACAATGAAATACTCAAATAACCGTTGATAAAGTAAATGATTAACAAGTAAGTTTTTTCAAGCTCTTTAATTTTTATTGGGAATTTGAATACTCAAAAACAATTCAAAAAAATGAGAAGATAAGCATTAAATGTATGACTAAATAAGTTGATATTATAACAATATTTAAGTTCATCCTATCTAGTATCTTATACTCGTGGAAATTCTAAGATAGACAGTAAGAACATAATGAAGCTAGGTTAACAAAGAAGGAAAAATTGAATAATAATTTAACTAATTGACTAAATGTTTACTTTATCCATAATTTTAATTTAACGATGTGTAAATGTTATTTAATTAGCTTATGTATATATTGTTTAAGAGTATATATTATTCTTAATTCATAACATTATATTAGCTATTAATTATCTATATAGTGTATATTTTAATGTTAATACTAATATGAAACAGTAGCAAATTGAGGTGGTTTTACATACCTAAATATAATATAATTTATAGGACAATTCATTAAAAATGTATATGCTCTTTTTTTAATCAGTTATTCAAAATCTGATTTTTTTTTTAAATTGTTAAGAATTTCTAGACTAAAAATTGGTTATATAAAGTGAAATTAGTCTAAAATTAGAGTTTTGATTTATATAAGTACTAGGACAACTTGCTTCTTAAGAATTGTCTAGTGGAGATACAAACTTTTCTATTTTTTAAATAAAAACCCCCCTTTCATACGGTAAATTAATTTGTAGATAATTTTTCAGAAAATGTTACATATCAAAATTCGAACATGTATTATGAATACTCTACACCAAATACCTATCCAACAACATTTGATACATTTAAAAAAGGTAAACCTACATGCGGTTTTAGACTTTTTATTTTGTTTGATTGTAAAACTAATTTAAGCTTTTGGTTTTTAAATGGCGACATATTTTTTAATTAGATACTCTAAAGAAGAATAGCTTTCCTAAAAAGATGTATGAATATTGAATTTGAATAAATAGTTCTTTGTTAATAATTATCATTTTAAATTTATTATAAAAAGAACCATACTAACAAGGGTTATCCATGCGAAGCACCACTTCATCTAAATTTAAAATACTATACAATGACCTTAATGTTTCCTTTCTAATGAATTCAATATATTAGTCGATCCAATGAAATGTGAATAAATTAACATTTGAAACACCACTTGTAAAAATATTTAAAACTAATTATTTTAACTGTTCTATTTCTAGAATAGGTTATGTTAATTTCATAAAATTTATGTGTACGAGTCAAAAAATATTTATAGGGGAATAACTTTTTTACTTTTAACTATGTTTAGTTATTTTAAAAATTAAACATTTAAAATAGGTATTTTATCATTTTATAAATTATATGTATTTTTATAAATATTTGAAAGTACTAATAAACCTTGTTTGTAAGAAAATGAAAATAATATTAATATTGTTATCAAAAATAATTTAATGAAATTTAAGAAAAATCTTAGAATATAGTCTTAGTAGTAAATTATTTTGATTTTCAAACTACTTAGATTTATGCTAAAATTGTTATTATAAATAATATTTGAACTTACATCAACTATGAGGTATTTTATGTCATTCTCTGGAGCTCTCCTATAAAAATAGGTATATATCAAAAAATATAAACGTATAGTTACAAAAAATATCTAGGTACACTGATGTCGTACAAATTATTTTAGAAACTAAAATATTTACCTCTTGACAGTCTTTTTGTTCTTCAGAGCATATTTCTTTAACAGATAATATAATAAAGGCACTCCAGCAACGGCACTGCCGATTATAGCATTTTTTTGAGATACATATTTGCTCAAAACTGGAGCCATTTTTTACACAAAATGAGAAACTAGGATATTCTTGAATATGAGGCCATGAAAAAGAAATGTATATTTAAATAAACAATAATGTTTGGTAATCAAATAAGACAAATAAGTTTTAAAAAAGTTAACTAATATTTAAACTACGAGAGAACTACTAGCGGTTGGTACTCACTGTACTGAACAGACAGACATACGTAATTTGTGTAATAATAATTACGAAGATTGGAGTTGGTTATGTGACTGGCTAATACATTACACTACAACGGTAGTGGTGGTGACCCATAACTCTGACGAAACTAACGAATAACTAGTCGAGACTAACGGTCTACTAATTTCAGCTGTTGCGTTTTGTCCAATCGTGAAAACTGAAAACTGAAGAACTGAACGCATACAAGTTTATCAGGTTCCACCACCACTACCAAACATAATATGTACGCGAAAAGCAACTAACCTTCATAGAAAACTATTTATTGATAAAAACTCGTATTGTGGCACCACACGTACTCGGAACGGTCTGACCGTAGACAACAAAATAGAGAAAAAAAAATATTAATAATTGATCGTTCAAATGCTGCTTATCCCCTCTATTCGCCATGACAAAAAAAAAAAAAAATTTGTAAAATACCGAACAGTTGGGTATGTTATTAGAATTATTGTTATTGAAAATATGAATATGTTTACATTTGACTGACTGATAACGGACGACCGGCATGGAATAGAAATGGGCTAACTTGGCATAGCAATCTTACGTACGGTCATCCACAGGTGGCTTTACCGCTTTTTGATGAGTAAAATATAGGTAATAAAAATATAAATTACGTTGTATTAAATATTAGAGTATTTAATATATTATATCAATGTTTTTTTGTTATCTTTCCTGAAATATTTTCCACAGACGACCTTGACCCTAAGCCAACTTGTTAGCCAACTAACAAATGTATTTGATTTTATAAGTTTATAGTTAAAAAATTAAACCCTCTCTATAATCTCTATTCCAAATATTTTTAATCTTGAATTGTTAATATTCCTTGTACAAGGCAATTCACTTAACATGTTCACCTCCATTTTTTCCTTGAATACGTTTGTTAAGATTTTGATTTTTGGAATTTTTACCTACTTATAGTTCTGTGTTTTCAAATACTTATATTTTTCATATCATTGAAGAAATGACCTAAATATATATAAACTTATCTTTTCAAATGATAAGCAATATACTTTACTGTGAATCATTAAGTAGATTTTTGATGATATCAAAAATTTTGAAGGAGTAGTTGTCACCTAGGGGGCTGTTGCTATATGACTGGTGCACACCATGAAATATATATTTTTGTATAATATAATTAAGAAAAAATAATTAGTAATTTTGATTAAGGGGGCTTTGATAGTTTCACATTAAATTTAGGTGGGCTCATGACAAAAATGTTTGAGAAGCACTGATGTAGAAGATGGCGAATAAGACCAGAGCCGTGCCGTCACAATTTGGCACCCGGACTAAAATTAAAAATATTCACGGCCCTCTCAATTAATTTATTATTTAATCTTTTCCTTTTTTACTTTTTTTGGTATTATTGTATTGATATTTTATTATATATTTTAAAACATTTTTGTGAAAATAATATAATCCCTTAGATATAAGTAAATGGTATAATACTGTAATTATACGAGTATAATACAAATTAATATTTGTTCTTAAGTAAACGTTATTTAAGTATGATTATAATATATAATTCAAAATTTAATCTCTTCCTTGATTTAATTGAAGCAAAATCTTTTATAACGTCTTCAAAATCGATATTGTTTATTATTTTATTTTCAATTGATAGTATTGCCGAGTTAGTTCTTGGGACATGGTTGATCGTAAGTATTTTTTAATTAATTTTAATTTATTAAAAGAACATTCTCCGGATGCGACAGTAACAGACATGATAAGATACAATTTACATGCAATTTTAAGTTTGGACCAGTTGAATCAAGTTCATAAGATTTTATTGCATTTAAAATATTTAAAAAATAGTTGCATTTTGTACATCTTATAATATTTCTTTTGTTTGATATTTAAAAAATTCTATTTCGTTAATTATTTCTGAGTCTACATCTTTATCAAATTGTATTGCTGTCAGCTGCATATTTCTTCAATATTTCAACTATAGTGTTATGATGGTAAATGGCCAGAAAGGAATTCAAAATCATCAATAATAATAGATATTGTTTCAAAACGCCACTTCATTTCAGCCATCGTATTATTAAGAACTTTGTACCTAGTATTTCATTATTAATAATTCATCTACGGAAAAATCTTCACATGATGAGCTTTCTCCATTTATTTTTTTATTTTTATTTTGAATTCAAATTTTGTATCAACTTTTTCACAAATGCTTATTGCTTCAATTTTAATTTGTTCAGTTCCATTATCACGCATTTCTTGAAGAAAAATGCTTAATGAATTTAACATTTTTACACTTGAATTATGGTAATTTTTGAACTTAGCAATAATTTTCATGCGAAAAATTTGATTCAATATTTTATCCCACATGATTAAAAAAATAAACAAATCGAAAATCAAGTTGTTTAAATATACTTTCTACTGTAGTTACCACGTCACCAAAAGTTGGATTGGTAGATAATTCATGTATGGCCGTCACCACTTCCCCAATTGATAATACAATGAATGAATTTTTTAGTGCACCCTTAAAATGTGTGCCCGGGGCACAGGCTTCCTTGCCCCCTGTACGACATGACTCTGAATAAGACGAAATGCATTTTTCTATTTGAAGTTTGAATGATTAGTGGTTAATATTCGTATATTTATATTAATTTGTGATTAATGGATGGTGCGGTGGTTTTCGTTCGTACCTAGCATAAAATCACGTTTAAAAAAAATAAAATAAAAGGAATAAAAGATCGATGATGTTCATAGTACGATGAAACAGACGAGAGAGAGTATGACCTTTGCATTCAACGGTACATCGTACGCGATGTGATCTCTGTCCTACTTTGTGCCGTTTACGAATATTGTGAATAAGTTAGAATCGGTGTAAAGTGCTTGTAAAATGTACGAGTATTAGCAGCTATTATGGATCGCATTATAGTCACTGAGTTATTATGTATATATACTAAAAATAATAGATCTTAAAAATGGATTTGCAAAGTTAAAATATAGATGTAATATTGAATCCAGTATTTATTTTTACAGAATATAAAATTTTGATAACTCATTTTTAAGTAACCATTGCCTCCAAACCTATTATTCTTATTAGGTACTTACACTAAATTAAATATCTCAAAAACAATTTGTTTGAATGTCGATTTGGATATATCATCAAAGGTATTTAATTTTCGTTTGAAAAAAATAATTTGATATCATCATACATAGGAAATTCCTAAAAATGGTATAAAAAAAAAAAAATAAGAATTTTTTTTATATTTGATTAAGTCATTAAGTATACTTAAAATTCCAAAAATCAGTATTTATTGTTACATTACATTTCAAGGGTGCTGTTACCTCAAATATATAAGTAAAGAAAAATAGGGGTGGAACGTGTTTAGTAAATCAAAGAATATTTTTACTGTATACTATATAGGTTTATTTAATATTACAGTCTAAAAATTGATATTCATATTTCAACTGTTTGATTTCCATATTTAAATTGATAAAAAATACGATTTACAATCTAAAATTGAAATACACTTCATAGATAGACATTTTAACTTTTTAATTAATAGAATTTTTCAGCCTATCACTTTATACCACAATAATTTGTTATTACCTTAAAAAATAGCATAGTAAATTAGTCCGATGAAGGACTAATTCAAAGATTGATCGATGAAAAAGTACTTAAGAAAACCGCGCCTATACATACTAGGCCAAGTGACCCAATGTTCCTATGACGGAGATTGAAAGTAGGCAACCTAATGTACAAGATATAGACAAGGAATGAATAATAGATGTGTAGTGAGTTAAAAGTCTTGTATTTACACAGGAAGTTGTATTCTATTGTTTACAATGTATTTATATGCTTTACGTAAATTGAGTTGTATAATTTTATTTCTTTTAAGAATTTTGTGATGTTAATAGTTATTTATTTTGATGGCAGTTTTAATCGTAGTGCTTCGATTTTCAAATCTAATTGATGTTGTATGCGATTTTATGAAGTTTGATTCACATACATTTATATTTTCTGCTTTCTTCTATGATATACTTGATGATCATGTAATCCACTCTGTATGACTCACATATGAGTTAGTCGTTTTTGTTTATAAGATAATTGTATGTTATAAATATGCAGTTGTGTGTGACATATTCGATTATTCCAAGATGATTTATGGTATAGTTTTGTCTTTAGTTTCTATACTTAGGTTTCACTAATGCTTAACAATATATAATTTATAAATATAGATGACATTTGAACAATAATTTAGTCAATTATTATTTCAATTGAAAATCTTAACAAATGGAAAATTCATACACAGAAAAATATAAATTGACGATGACTTACCTAATAGTACAAAAACAGAGTCATAAAATCAAAATTACAAACAGAAATAACAAAAATTGATTGAATTCCTATTTAACTAATACATAGATATATTACATAAATATAATATACGTTTTATATACATATATAGCTCACGCTGAGGCTAACAAAATGTACGAATAGGATGTATAAAATATTTATTCATACTATCATACAATATGCGATCAGGAACGTACTGTACGTGGGTTTGAGGACCAAATCTTAACAAAAAATAGCTCGTAAACGATAGTTGTCAGCTTCATTGATATATGCCTGTTGGTTGCTATTATATAGTAACTGTTTGAAAGGAATAAGCAAATATGAGATATAATGGAGGGAAATGTAATATATATTACTATATTATAGTATTATAGCAGGTAGTATTAATTTCCTTCGTTCGGAAAAACTCGGACGTTTCGGCGTGATCATTCCAGCTTAAATCCATTTTAATGTAAATTTCATTTTCATTTCTCATGTATAAAGGTTACGATTTTAAATGCATTATATATTGTAATTTAATTTCAAACGCATTTAGATATAATAATATTTAGTACCTTATATAATATGGACAATTTCTATAAAATTTAAAAAATCCATAGTTGCTTAATTTAAAATTAATTAACACTTTTATATTTAATTATAAAACAATCACTGAAAATCACTCTTAGCCCGTACTTGGGCTGTGCTTCTTGCGTTGCGTTCAATCGTCGTACCTACATTTCCATCGAATTTCTCGACGACAACAGGACTCCTTGTCCTTGCTTCCCTGTGTTATACACACATAGTACAATTTATGTCACCTCAGCACATCTTACTTCACAGACCTAACCTATATTAATATTTTAATTACTAAAAATATTCCCATCTATATTATATATACATACATGTATACAATTATATTAAATCGATGACTGTCTTCAATATACAACAAAATATAATATAGGTAATTTAATAAAGTCTTCTATCTTACTTTCGACTTTACTGTAAACCAGCGGTTCCCAAACTTTTTTAATTCATAGTCCATAGATCCTCAAAAATAAAAAAAATAATCCCTTTTCCTTTGAATAAATGAAACAACACTTTGCAATAGCGTATATTTAGTAATTAGTGTATAAGTACAGTATCATTATTAACATTGCATCTCTTCATGTGTTTGTATCTCATATAGTTAAGAACCTTTGCTGTACACAATAACTCTATCATAAAAATGTTCCATGTTAATACCATAATTTGGCTTTAGTAGGTCTGTCTTTTGACTCGAGCTTTAGTTTTGTCCATTAATTAACATAATATATTTTTCTAAATATTATAACCATCCATTGTACTCGTATATTACCAAACTACACATTATAATACTAAATGCGGATCGCATAATTTGCAATAAATTAAACAATGCGTGGTATATTACTATTTTTTAATATTTGTAAAAGATACGATTTTATTTTATGACAGTCCCTGCTAATTTTATATAATTTAATATTGGATAATTTATTATCTTATGTCCTTATGATAAGCTATGCGGTCGCTTCAAGTACAATTTTCGCGTACATTGCAGTGTAAGGCGTATTGTAGCAGTTTATATATGGCGTGTTATTTTGTTTAAATTTAAAACCTAATAGTGGCTAATTTATTAGGTTTATCTGTTATAAATATAAGACTGTAGTGTTTTAATTAATGTATATCTTTTTGAAAAAGTGTTAATTATGACCACTTCAATTCAGATACAGTATTATATTAATAATTTCATCATTTATTTTGATCACATCATCTTCATAAGTTGTTTCTATTTGAATATTTTTCAAAAAATGTATACTCAAAAATACATTATCATCATAGTATTTATAATTAATGACACGTCTTTTGTGGCTATCAGTTCTTGAGGTGGATGCCTTATACGCCATCCGGTGATGGCTTTTTGTAACTGCCATGTTGGATTATAGCCTTGTGAAACATTTTCATAGCTGATTTTAGATTATTATCGATATATTGTATTATACATCATAATTTTGTCAAATATATCACATTATATAATGTAGATCTATTATATTTACATTAAATTACGTGTATCCGGTAACCATATTTCACATATTTTACTTTGTGTAAAAAAAAAAAAAGTAATATTTTTATTAGATCCACACGAAATTTATTATAGTATTTTGCATAATATGCATATATTGTTATGTTATATAATTTATAAAATGGTTATTTTATAATTCAATTGATAAATCGTTTACAGTATTTTAGTAATAATAATATTACATTTTATGTTGTTAAACTAAAACTAATTTTTGGTATGACTATTGATTATAGTCACAATAACTATTTGGAGTACATAATATTTTCCTTAATACAAAGTAAAATATTTTTTTTTCTAATATAATCTTAATTCAATCGTAAACTATTTAATTAAATCGCAATGATACATTGTGTGACACTGTTGTTATAGTTAATATTAAAAAGTTCAAACAACTCATGCATGATATCAAAATATTCTTATTTCTTATTATATACCTATATATTCTTAAAATATAACATAATACTTTAATCTTAAACATTATACATGGGTAAATATTTAACAAACGTATAATATGGTCATATAGGAATGTTTATAAAACTTGTACCTATAGGGATATATCAGTTAGAACAAATGTTCTAAATTATTTGTATAAAATATTGTCTGATGGAAATGTAAGTTTGAAAATGTATAAATATATTTAAAAATTGTAACTATAAAAAGAATACATTTTGTTAATATAAATTGAATAATTATTATAACTGGTCATAGGTATCAAATAAATTAATATATAATGAGACTTACACATAGTATACTTTATTTTGTACCTAAAACATCAATATTATTTATTATTTTAAAACTACAATTTGCAATCTAAACTCATTGGTGAATGTAATATAAATATGTATTTATGTATATACATAAAAATAATATTTAATCTACTTATTCAATAAATTATACCTAAGCATTTATAAACTTATTATATTAAATAAAAAAATGTATTTCGGGTTTTCAATAAAGCTTTAAAAATAATAATTGCCAAATCTGTATTTAAATATTCAAGTCTATAATGATTAACTAACCTAACCCTATAATAGTCTCAATGTCCAACGATAAATATGTAAAATAATTATTAATATTATTACCGGTACATAAGGATATGATCTTTATACTATAGTAAATTAATTTAGTATAAAAGCACCTACCTACTAAGTACCTCTTCGATTTTATTAAAATGTGCTAAAACAAGCAATACAAATATATAAAAATGTATAATGAAATCACATTTAATTACCAATTATTTTCAAAATATTATTAAGTGAAAATAAATTATTTTTTTAATTTTGTAATAGTAGATCAAATGAAAAACAAAAGTCACTTTTTATCGAAGCTGAATAATTTTGTTTTACTTAATCTCAAATAAACACATAGTATTTTTAATAGATTTTTAATTTTATTGCGAAAGACAAAATCACTGATTTAACTGAATTTTAAATTAGTAGTGTACTTAATATTACAAGTTATCTACAGATTTAATTTTGTTTAAATATACTCGTACTTGTACATTTTTCGTGATAATGCTTATAATTTGTTAGGTATGAAATTATAGCTATTTTAGTATTAAACTATACAAATGTCATGAAAAATAAAAATTAAAACATTTATATTAAAATTAGGATAATTAGTAATCATTACTAATGGTGGAAAGTGAATCTTCTTTCAATAATTACTTACTAAGAAAAGTTGTAAAAAATGTTTCATGACTCTAAGAAGCTATGATTAAAATTTGATTTTGCATATTTTGACATTTTGCATTTAAAAGCATATTTGAATAATTTGTTTATCAAAGAATTTAGATCATATTCATCAATTTCTCAGTACAGTAAAGTTAATTTCGAATGAGTTTGAAGTGTTTGGATAAATAAAAACACCTACAAAAATGGTCGGTACAAAGATTAATGATAATAATTATTGTGCTATTACATGTCGTATCCGCGTCAAAATGATTAAATCTCTGTAAACACTATATACCCGTGCATACGTAGTTGTGGCCCGTTTCGTGTAGACTTAACCGCGTTGTTCATTTTAAGCAAAAATAAAATAAAATATATTATTTTTAAGTTGTTTGAGTACAACAAATCATAATGATGTGTTTTTAAAATAGTATTGAACTATTATTATAACCAATCGTATAATCTTTGTATGAAAATCATTTATATTGTACGAAGCTAAAATTTCTTAAAGATAATTTTACGCATCATTATATTACGCCTCAAGATATTTTTGAATCTTGAGTGTTCATTTGATATTATGTATATCATTTACAAGAACAAAATAAATTATGTTATTTATTTATTGTTCACACCAGCGCCTAAAATAATCAAAATAAGATTATTATTATTTTTTAATTGAATATTATCATAGATCTTCTGTATTAGGCCACTGTGCAGGAATTTCTTTTGAGCATGTAACGTCCTTTGGTGGATCCTGAACTGTTATCCACGTAATTTGGTAAGGACATACGTCTGCGCCTTACAGCTGGGCTCAAATTATATTGAACCTAAAAACATCAAAGATTTAATTTTAATCAATTACAACGTAAATCATTTATTCAGTTTTAATATTATATATATATAATAAATGTGTTATTTTATTTTAATTTGTGTTCTCTATTATTTAGTTCTATGATTATAGGAATAAATGCATAATAGGTATTTCTGTATAGTCATTGATAATTATTATAATGTTAAAAAATTGAAAAATATTTTTATAAAGATTAAAATATTTAATTTTCTTGATTTAAAAATAGTATAGGTAGTATTTATTTATCAAATAATGTGTAACTTGTAAAGTAAAAAAAATATGAATAACAATAATTAAACGATATTGACGAACACTATAATGATGTAGTATAGTTCTATAATTCACAAATTATATACATTTTTTGGAACTTATAACTATATATAAGGTTTTCGTATTACCATAAGATAGATGGTTATATACTTACTAATAACAATATGAAAATTATTCAACTTGAAATAATTATTTAATTTGGTGTATGTTATCGGTAATGTGAACAATTCAGTCTTTATACGTATACTAAATACATAATGTATTGATTTTCTATGATTTTAAGATATATTCATAACTGCATAAGTAATTACAATTATTTAAAAAAAAGTATTTTATTGATAGCTACACAACATTAGTTAATATATTTAAATAAACTTTAATTTACAACCATCTATTATTTACCTTATTAATTCTTATATAATTTACAGTATAATGAATATTTTAATAACATTTTATAAATTGAAATATTTTCTGATAGTTGCATTTTAAAAGCTTTACACTATACTTGTTTATTATTGACTTTCTTTGTTCAACAATTGAAAATTTTCTGATTTTTTTCAATATTTTCATATTTAAGTGTATTATGTTATTTATGTAAGTAGTTTTGTGATTAACTTAGATACTCATTTTCGATAAGCATGAAATACTGTATTTTGTTTTAACTGTCAATTTTTTTTTTCATACTAAAATTTAATATTTATATTAGCTAAATTTTAAGTTGATGGACATAAAGGAAGTAGGGGTGTTATTAAAATGATGATTTCTATTTTTTAAGTATTGTTACATACACAAAAATAGTTTTCATCATACTATTAGAACTTTTGTATAGTAGATATGCTTTATAGTTTTATATTTAAGTCAACCACTTATAATCATTTAAATGATACCAACTTCTGTACTGTTAATTACATACTGTAAAAGTGATGCGGAGTCATTAAGCATCCTAACTTAAAATAATAAAAAAGGGCAATAAGAATTTTTATTCAAGACAAAATTAGTTTTCAACACTTATAATACAATCGTATATCTTAACTAGATTTTTTATATACCTTTGCCTGAGCTAAGAGTTCCTTGAATACCTGTACTATATTTCTATTCTCTTTGGCTGAGCATTCCATATAGCCACATTCCCAATCATATTTGGATATTGCTTCAGTAATTTCCACTGGTAAAAATCGTTCAGATAGTTCACACTTGTTGCCTACAATGACTATTGGAATTTTTGGTCCTCTTCTTTCAATTATCTAATGAAAACAATATATAATATTGATTAAAAACCTACCAAATTAAATTATGGTTTTAAAAATATGTTTTCAAATTTACTTGTTCTTTAAAGTGTTTAACTTGATCCCATGTATCTTCTCTGTCTACACAAAAGACTAACAGAAATGCGTCAGCAGTTGATATAGATAACTCTCGCATAGCTGGAAATTGATAAGCTCCTGATGTGTCCAAAATATCTAATGTCAACCGTGCTCCATCGGGTAATTCATAGTCTCCTAAAAATGATTATATAAAGTACTAAAGCATAAAAAAAATTTAACAACAATTTTTTTTCATATTACTATTTACACCTCTTAGTATCTATATTGCTGGTAATATTATAACGAAAGTTAGAAAAATCGATGCTCCTATATTACCACCCAAACTACGTTTTTATTATCCTATAAAACAAAGCTCGTGTGTCACTTATAAATAACATAATTTATACTACATATATTTCGTAAGATCAGAATCAAAGGTGCTATTTCAAAAATATTGTGTCTTTTACTAATTAATTTTAAAATATTTATAGCATTTTTTATTTTAACACAATATAGTTTAAAATAAAAGATTTTGTTTACACCGTTGAAAAGTAAATTATGTAAATTGTGTCATTTTGGTTTAAAATATTTTAATTTTTAATAAGTTTTTAAATAATGTACTTAAATTGTTGTTTTAAAGTTTTTAATTATAGAAATAACAGAAAAAAAAACTATTTAGAGCGTTTGAGTTATGATTTGACTATTAGTTAAAACTAAGACTAAAATTACAGTTGGGTGGAATTTAATATTTATATTAAAAGTAAGAACAGATAAACATTTTAAATGGTATTGGGATGAAAAGTAATAAATATGGAAAAAGCAAATCTGATTTGTATTAGTATAATAATTTAAAAGTTATAATTCTTAACTATTATAGTTTCAAACTTGGAGAAGAATTGTTATAAGTTATGACTTATTAATTATTATATAGCATACGATAGCATATCAATTGTGTAGCATCAGTTTCCTAGAATATGATGTTACATTGTGTATACAATAATATATTTATGGATATTAAGTATAAGAATGTAATATGCGAGTTTCATTAATCATTTTAAATTATTAAAATGTACATTATTAATAATTAAAGACATAGTCAGTTTGGTTTGGTTCGAATCCATAGCTTTGATATATGCGAGTTTGGTAAATTGAGCCCAGTGTCCCAATTTACTTACTTAATTGTTGGTAAACCGACTCGCAGTACAAAATTAAGTGTTACTAAGAAGACTGTGTCACACATAGAGAATGTTTAGTCGGGTGGTTATCAAACATTAAAATATAGTAGGTATCTTGATAACATAGTCACATAATTAAAGCTTTGGGTTTAAATTAGACTTGACTTATGTTAATCTTGTAATATCTCATACGAATTACCTGCTATAATAAACCAAAGTTACCATGATATAATATAAATAGGCATTACAAAGCAATACGACAGGCGTATTAGGTACTGATAATTTAAGAGACTTAGAGACTATTAACATCATCATGATTTTAAAACTAAAAACTAGTTTGTCACATTTTAAACACTCTATTATTTTTGTTTTTATCAAGAGTAAGGAATAATATTATTAAACATGATATTAGAAATATTTATGATTGTTTAAATTTATTTTATCTTTTTAGTAAAATATTTGGAAAATTTGGTAAAAAAGTTATGATAAATAAATAAAATGAAAAAAAAAATAAGCTCATAACACAGTTTTAAAGGTTTCATACATACCAATCTCTGTGAAAATTAAATCATATATACAACAAAAATAATGTTTTTCATTTAGTTTCCATTATTATTTTATAAAAACATTGATGATCAATTTAATAGTTAACCAATTATATATGTTAAGCTCGAATTGTGAAATTTTCCAATACATAAAATATGCATTTTTTCGCTTAGTTCGTGAAATGGACTATCAATACAGTCATTTCATAAATTAGACATATTTTCAAAAAAATAATAAACTGATAATATGCCGGCAATAATCATATCGGTCAGTTTATCGCATTTATTATGAGAGTATATATATAGTATTTATTTATTCACTATTGATAATTTATCAAATAAGCTTTATTATATTATATTGTAATTGGAGAAGAACGTCAGTTACTTTTTAATAGTCATTCAATATTATATATTTTAGTTCGGGTTGCGTAGACAATTTTTTATCGTTTAAAATCATTTTACCATGAGTTTTGATGAAAAATCAAACTTTGTAAAAAACGTTGGACTAAGGATTACGAGACATCTGTTATTGAAGCTTTAAGATATGACTGAAAAGGAGTAAAAAGACTAGAAAGTTATTACAACATAGAAGAAAAATACTGCTATTGCTGGAGTTACTAAAGCTAGTAATAAAGAAAAAAATACATTTTTTGCAATTAACTGACGACAATATAAAAAAAATTACTCACAACATCCATACTGGAACTGACTACAAAGAAGAAAAAGACATAAATAAATTAATAAATATTTCTCAATTATTCCAAGATAATTGCAATTTATAGAAAAAATTGTGAATGGTGCACTGAAATATTAAGAAAAAAAAATAAATTGGCTCTTGTGTAATCATAAAATCTTTTGCAATTCAAAAGCTAATTATATAGAATATAGATCAAATAGATTTAGTAGAGTTTAAAAATTAACTAGATGGTTATTATAAAAAATATATTTTAAACTATCAGGAAATCCTTACAAAATTTAGTATATTAAGGCCATTAGTGAGAAAAACTGCAAGAGAAGTATAATCAATATTAGGTATTAAATATATTTCTTAACTTAGGCACACTATATTATGTTTTATAATCAGATAACGGTAGAGAATTTACTGTAGGACATTATAAAAGAATTAGCTTCATTATGGCCAAATCTTATATTGGTAAATGGTAAGCAACGTAAACCAAAAAAACAAGGTTCGTTGGAAAGAAGTAATGTTACCCTTAAGAATTTATTGATCATGTTTATACTAAAAAATAATACAACTGGAGTTGGGTTTAATACAAAAAATGGTACAAAAATACATCTTTTCAAAATTAAATTTAAACAAAACCATATAATGCTCTAATTGGAATAAAACCAAGAATAGAGTAGGAATGCCATCAAATTTTTTTACTAAAACAAAAACTGGAATTGAAGAAGAATATGATGACTGTAGCACACATCCTGTAGATAATTAGACGATAATAATAAAAATATTGGAGCAGCATATATCTTAGACAAAGTAATAAGAGACAAATAAAGAAATATATAAGAATAAAGATACAAATAAAGAAACACAAAGCGATAATAGTATAAGTAAAGAAACAATGAAATAAGTAAAGAAAATAAAGAATATGATAAAAATTCAGCGGTAAAAATCAGAAAAATAGCATTGGAAAATATTGGAAAACAAGCAATTTGAATGATTACACGTGCAAATAAAAAACTTATAATAATTTCAGTTAGTGATTATGTAAATAGGTCTGTGTCTTATTCTGATTGTGGTAAAGCAGATTTTTTTTAATATTATTGGAGTAATAATGAATAAATAAAAATGAAACTTATGATATTGGAACTTGAGGAGGTAAAATTTAAATATATTTACATAGAATTAAATTAAAAAAAACTGAGTTTCAACGATTGGTAATTGAAGATAATCAAAAACATAGTTTACGTGAATAAGTAAAATTTACGTTTGTGGAAATAATGCAACTAGTGCAATACCTATACTGCATTCTTGTAAAGCATTCGAATAAATGTATTCAAATAAATCTATTTAAATACTTCTTTTGGTATTCAAATACTATTTTAAATATATTTTTAAAAAAGTAGTCAAATAAGCATTCTGAATACTTTTTTTTTGTACCAGAAAAATAGTTTTAAATTTGCAATAAGACATTTTCCTATTATTAATCGGGCAAATTATAAATCATGAATATTTTTTTTATTCATTAAACGAAATATAATACATTAATCATTTTTAAATATAATATATTATATTGATGTTTATTTATTAACTATTATGTTTGTATTAGTTATTATCTATAATTGTTAATTCCAACTATTTCAGAGCTGACAAAATCTAGAAGAAAAAAAGTATTCTAATAGTATTCGAATACTTTTTAATACTTGTTTAAATATTCGAATAAGTATTCTTTACAAGACTGTAGCAATAGGATACTAAAAATGTTCATGTATAAAAGGTACAATATATTTCAAAGCATAATATAATTACATAAGTAATATAATATAATAAATAAATATTTCTGATTTATTTTTTAAATTTTTTTCAGGATGTTCTAACAAAAGCGTCATTTAAAAAATGGATTACATAGTGATTTTGCGTGCCATGTGATAACCACGATTGAAATTCAATTTATTTTTACTGAGTACTTTACCTTTATTATATTCAAATTTATAATCATGTTGGTTTATGAATTGTGCGAAAAAAAAAGAATGAAAATATTTCAAGTTTATGAAATGACTGCATTGACAGTCAATTTTACGAACTGAGAAGAAATTTGCCTATTTTATGCATTGGATGCATTGGATAATTTCACAATATTATATACCTTTATATATTTATATATAATAAATATCATAATATCTAAAATTTTTAACATAGTTTTAAATTTAAAAACTTGTATTTAAATATTTTCCATAATTTTTCTGGTATAAATATGCAATTTCACATCAAGTTCTAAGAATTTTGTTGACATTTATTTTAGTTCTTTGAAAAAATAGTATTTGAATACATTTTCTTGAATTCTCTTAACATTCTAGAGATATAGATAGTATTATACAGTTACTAGATAATTTTGTATATGTTACTAATTTATAAATAATTTGTTGTTAGAAATGAAAAAAAGCATATATTTAATGAGATAGTTAATGAAAAAAATAATTAAAAAGCAAACAAATTTAAAAAAATGAATAGGATGTAGTAAACGGATATATAGGCTTAATATTCTTTTATCTCATTTAGGTAAAAGTATGACACAACATACTATCATAATGTTTTTTTTTAAACTATAAATTTAAAAACGTGACATTAATTTAAAAAAATATTTTAAGGCGAGTACCTTTACAGCTTTCCTACATTTTCACGTTTCGCATAATTAAGATGATTTATAGTTTTCACGAAAAAAATATTTAATAATTATTATGTTATTTGATATAATTATCAACAGTCAAGACAATTAAAATGTATTACTTTAAATAGATTTAAATTATTGTTAAGTAAAAAAAAAAATCACATGCTTTTATAAAATAAACAATTCACTCACCTCTGTGCAATTCCTCGATAGTCTCTTTGTATCGGTCAGGGAATTGGTCATACAGGAATTGCTTAATTATGGACGTTTTTCCAACCCTAGCTGCACCCATCATTACCACTCGTCTCCGAATTTTCATTGTCGTACTGCCACTGCCACTGCCTCCGCTGCTACTGTTACTGCAAGTCGATTCCCCACCCATCGAAGATAACCTGATGCGTTCTTGTTGTTGGCTCGGCATTATTTTCCTTTCACTGAAAAACCATACGCTAGTCAAGATAAAATAATAACAATATGGCGCTATAAAGTTAGAGACATTTATATTAAATTTCACTTTTCACATCTCACTGAAGCATAAAACTACATATAGATTATACATAGGCTTTTCATATTATATTGTTTACACACAATTTGCAGACGTGTTTTTCATTAGAACCAATCGATTTCTTTGATTAGTTCAAAATTAATAACACGGTTCATATAGTTGTTGTTTTTAAATTGCTTTATTCGGAATATTATCTTTGAGTACAGTCTATGATCTTGGGTATTTAATTTAAAATTGTTTATAAAATTGTTTAAATTCGAAAAGTTTCGTGATTATTATGTCTTTACTCAATCGATTTCGGACATTGACATCTAATAAAAAAGTATAAATTATAACGAATCAGCGATAAACTTTTGTACAAAATTATTTAGGGATCTTTTCTTCCCCTATCCCTTTGGTAATTTTCTGTTAAATTATTTGAAAAAGCGAAACGTATTAATGTTTTATTTCGGAGAATAACACTTTAATGTCTATTGACAGAGATAAATTTTCTAAAAAACTGTAGTTTTGTCGATATTATAATATCCTATTATGATTTTGTTAATAACTGAAATATTATTTCATTAATTTTGAGCTTTTGAACTAAAATAAATTAAACTCTCAAATACTATATTTTTTAGTTGTTTTATTCTTGATTGGTAGGTTTATTGGATTATATAATTTATTTATTTATAAATATAAATAATATAAATATTTTAATAGTATGTGAGTGTATATGCTATAAAAATATATTATATCTTTATAAATTAGATAAATAGATAAAAGATTATTTATTATCAGTTTAAAAAATATATTTTCTTTGCTCATATATGATATAATATAATCAGTTAATACATTTTAATATTAATCCAACCAAATCTACTCTACTATTTATTTATTTACTTAGGGATTAGGGTAATATTGATTATAAAATATAGTATAATAAATAGGTAATTCAATAAAACTATAGCTAATAAATAATAAAAAATAGACACTAATACATAATTCCTGGTTAATTTTTTGGACAATTTTACAAAGAATTTTTGAAAAACTTGTATAAAAATACAATATTTGTATGTATGTATGTATGTATGTATGTATGTATGTATCATGGCTAAATACTTAGGTATGTCAGCAACTCTGTGATACGCATGTCATGATGTCAGCCGGCAGGAACTTTTATCACAGTTGTAACAAGTTTCAATATTTGGCCGATAAAAATCCTTGCCGGCTGACGTCATATTACCATATAATAAATTAAGATTTGTTTATTATTTCATGAATGCGCTTTTTAGAACGGATTTTAGAATTATTGCTGACATACCTGAGTGTTTAGCCATAGTATGTATGACGTATGTATGTATATATGTATATTAAATACAGTGAAACCTCCACTAACGAACACCTCCCAATAGCGGACGTTTTTTGGGGAACGGGAACATTTTCATTACTTTTCAATAGGAAAACCTCCGAATAGCGGACTCTCCAAATAACGGATATTATTTTATTAGGCAATGTTTAAAATAATGGTAAATCCCTAATCATTATTTTAAAATAATACGTATTCACATACGTATGCACACTCGTAATAATGTAATTACGATAACAAACTCGTTATGGGACGATACGATTTCGACAAAGCTCACCGATTTATTCAAACCAAAATAATTTAAAAATATATGTACATGATCTTGATTTTGATTGTAAAAATATACTTTAAATAATAATATGTAATTAATAATAATTTGTAAAAATATAAAAATGTATCCCCTCTGAATAACGAACAAAATGTTGGTGACCAAGAGTGTCCGCTATTCAGAGGTTTCACTGTATGTATATATATATATGTATATATGTAATACGTATATATGCATGTTATGTATGCGATATTATTAATACATAATAAAATAAATATAAATTAAACGATATAAAAACAAAAGCAATACGAAACACAAATACGCAATACTTGGAATTAATTATTTTTAGAAAATTTGCAGTTATTTTATGCCACATCGAACTTTATTTAGCTTTATTGATATTAATTTTGATAGTCATTTTAATATTTCAAACGTTATGTAATAATTCAATGGCGTTCGGGAAAAACGAGCTAAATTTATAATAATAAATTATTAACGATGATAATTACGAAATATATATTGACATAACGTTACGAAATAACTAAGTGCTCAGTGGAGAACGTTTTGAATTCTTGCGTGTTGGTGCCTAAACCACTCAATATTTTACTTAAAATTATAATTTATTTAGTGTAATTAAATCAAAATATTTTATTCAAATCACCACGAGATTTTCGAGGGATTATATATTTACTTTTAATAACCGATATTTTTTATTATTAAAGATTTTAACTGTCAAAAATCAACTGTAGGTACTCTTAATGTATATATTTTTATTTATTTTTGCTTTACACGCTTTTAAGGCGTTTTGCAGCATCTATTAAGCTCTCCAACGATCTCTGTCATCGGCATCCTCTATTAATACTGATTGATTAGTTCCTTTTAGATCATTATTCTTAACACGATCTATCCATCGCTGGCACGATTTTTCTCGTGGTCTTTTTCCAGATGGATTATTAATTAAAACTTTATTGATCAAATACTGCTTTACCCGCCATACATGCTCAGCCCATTCTAATCTTTTGAATAGTAAGAAACTTTGAATATTTGGTCTGTTGAAATAGGCTTTTAATGTCTGCGTTTTTTCCCCATTCATATTTTCTATTATCCAGGTTTCGCATAGGTCTATAGATTCTTCTCAGAATCTTTCTATTGAAATTTAACAGTTTTTCTTCACCACCCTTTGTTGTTAACCAAATTTCACATCCATACATGATAATTAGACTTCGGACGAAGGTAAACAGTATAGAACTTTATCTTTGATTCTTTTGATATTAGTCTTGACTAAAACATTTCAATTTATCTCATTGTGTATATTATTATTGTTAACGTTTATATTGATTCCCGGGTATTTAAAGTTTCAAAAGTGCATTGATCTATATTGAGAATTTTTTATTGATTAAACGCTTGGTAGGTAATTATCATATACTTTGATTCATCTTTATTAATTTTCAATCCTATTATTTGTCTAGTTTCTATTACTTTAAGTGTGTATACTTAAGATTATCTGGTCTTGAGATTCTCCCACGATAACAATACCATCGGTATTATAGTATAGTATAGAGTCTTGTTTCCAAATAGTTCCATAGGACTGTTATTTCTCGTATCTTTTATCACTTGTTCTCGTGCTAAGTTGAATAAAACTGGGGACAGTGTGTCTCCTTATCTTAGCACTGTTTTTACTTCAAAACTTTTGGAGATTTCTCCCAGAACACTATTAACTACTTTTTATGATTTTAGTAAGAAAAATATATTATATTTTCAAACCTTAGGCATAAATATTAAAATTTTTATATATTTTTATAATTTTTATTTTTTATTCATAGCTTTTAGTATTAAAACTATGATAACTCCCAACTATAAAATAATTTTCTTATTTTCAATATTTCATCTAATTTGGGATATTTTATTAGATTTTTAAGTTTTTTGTTTGAGTCTATTTATTTTTATCAGCCATTACATAAATTCCAAATGCTTATAAATAGCTTAAGAATTGAAATCGTTTAAAATATTTCTATGTATTTTTCATAAAAAACTGATTTTACTTAAAAACATTTATTTCTTCACATCATCATTTTTTTTTTTTTTTTTTTTTTTATATATAATAATTAATAATTTTTGTAGGTAATCACTTTAAATTATATTTAAACAAAATAACTAAAATAATCATTTTTAATTTGAATATACCTACGATTTCGTTAACAATTACATTTTACATAATTAAAAAAACAATTTATATTTAAATTTTCAAGATTTATAGGTTCTTATCAGAATAATTTAAAGAAAACTTTTATTAAATTTTTAAAGGTGTTAGGTTGAGATATTACAAAACAATTGTGAATTTTCATATTATTGTTAAATTTCATGTACAATTTATAAGTGTAATTTAGAACAGTTAAAAAATTGTGACCGTATTTTCAGTATTTTTTAATTGTAGTAAAACCAACTTTTGCTGTACCTATTATGTTTAAAACTGTAAGTCAAAAAATAAAATATTTAAAGGGTCACAAAAAAATTATATTACGAGCACTAACTTTTAAAATTGATTTAATTACTAAAATATTTTTATTTACTAAAAATTTTGACATATCTACGGTTATATATTTTTTAACTATAAAAAAAAAAAATAAAATCGAGTTTTTTAATGTATAATTATAATATATAGTGTTACGTAACTATTTCCGTATTCCTTACTTGTTTTCAGTTTTTCCCTTATTATAAAGATACTACAGACACGACAAAACATATATTATTGTAAAACCTATACATATTTATTGCTTCTTTCAGAATCTAAAACTAATGATGTCGTGATGATGTATCTTGTTTGAACAATATAAATAAGATATATTTCTATTTTATTGACGATAAATAAAATTAAAGCCATAAAAACGGAAATAAATGCAATAAGTACTTTAAAAAAAAATATATATATATAAGAATATAATATTACTTATCAGAAACGCTGAAATTTCTCAGATTTCTCAATAATTGATCTCCTTAGTCTTTGTTATACATGAAAAAAATAAAATGACAATATTTATACTAAAGGTTATATTCTTTTTCAAGTTTTATTTATTTCATCGTTAACATTTTCTATTTTAATTTAATACTTGGTATAGGGTATTAAATTACACTAAACATACGTTAGACAAAGTAAGCGTATTCCTTTGTACACTAGAATAATACAATAAAAGTAAAAATTTGTTTTAAATAAAATAAAATAAAATTACAATTTATAAATTATTAATACATTTTTTTTTTTTAGTAGTCCTCTTTTAGAAAGAAATCTAATTTACACAATAAAAGATCAAAGAAA